CCTCCTTAAACAGTTTGCCCTGTACTCAGTGCAAATTTTGATCTGAAGACTTGATTCAGGTGAAGGATGTTTTCTTACACTTCTTTAATGATTGTTTTCTCTGTGGACTTTCTTCTATACTTGTAGAATGTTTATCCTAAAATTGTTCTTGTGGCTGGGCATAATGATGCATGCCCATCACAGCACTCCGGGAGGCTGGCAAGTTCAATCCCAGCCTGGACAATTTAATGCTGCAGTCAGGCCCTGTTTCAAAATAAAAGATATAAGAAAAGACCTAGGGATGCAAAGGCCCTGTTTCATGGATTCTATTTCTTTCTTATGTTGGGCATTAATGGTTTCCATCATTTTCTTAAACTCCTCTATTTTTCTTTATTTGTATCCAATCTGGAGTCATTATATATGTCTTTCATTATGCTCATCATCTCTGTAATTATCTGAGAAATTATTTCTGTTTTTTTTTTTCTAGCACATCATTTATCTGCTTTGTTACTTCTGCTTTTACCACTTCAGAGTCCAGGTGGGTGGTCTGCAGATTATTCTACCTCATTGCCCCTTGGGTTTGCCTTCAGTGAGCTGGATGTCTGAGGCTACATGTTGTTTAAGTTTCTTCTCATTTTCTATTTTTAAAAGTTTAATTCCTAAGTTGATGTTTATAAATTGCTTATGACAAGTAGCTTTATTGCTAGTACTTAGAACACTTAGGAAATCACTACTTCTCAGAGCTGTCTTCCAGGTATAGCTGGGTTTTGGGTTTTGAATCTGTTACAAGAACCTACCTCTTCTATGCACTGGGAAAGAGAAGTTGCTGCCTCCTTGGCCCAGCCTCTGTTTCTTTGGCACCGATCTATAGTATTTTTTATGACCCTTAGGCAATCTCAGTCCTGGTGCAACAGGAAGAATAACTGATTAAGACTATTATGTCACGTTGGCTAAAACAGTAGAATGAGCAATAACAATAGCACCAAACACAACCTAGAAAATGACATAGTGTGGTAGCTATTAATTTGCCACCTTTATCCATAAGAACTAGATTTGTGGTTATATAACAAAATCTAAGACAAATCAGAAAATTGTGTACAATAAATAAGCCCTCAATATGGTGATTTTACCCTCAGAGAAAAAAAAATAGAAGGAATTAGGGAGGAAATAGAGAAATACAAGAAGAGATTATACTTATCAAGGATGGAGGACAAAGGAAAATTATGCAAACTTCTGGAAGCTAGTGAACACAGGAAGAAAAGAGAAAAGGAAGTAATAAAAACAAGAACAGAACAACAACATAAAAACTAGAAACTGTTTACACTCATATAAAACAGGAACAAACAAGAAAAACAAAAAATAGGAAAAGACATTAAGAAAAAAAAAGTTCACTTCAAGGCATATCTCTGCTGTCACTGGAAGACATGGTAGGCAGACAGGGTCCAGATCTGAGGTGATCAATCCCAGCAGGCTAGTTGTAGTTTTACAGCAGGGTAGTCGATAACTCCAGCAAGCCTGCACCTTTGGTTCCACTGAAGTCCAGGCTGGTTTCTGGCTGTGAGGATGGAACCTGACTTGCCCAGCCTGTAACACTCTGTGTGGGGGCTGGGAAGATAGCTCAGTAGAATAAGTGCTTGCCTGGCAATCACAAGGCCCTGAGTTCAATCCCTGGTACTGCAAAAAACAAAAACAAAAACAAAAACAAAAACAAAAACAAAAACAACCCACTCTGTGAGGCTCCTGCCAGCTTAACTGGGCTTTTCGACCTCCTGCTGACTTGAGCTTGGCGGCCTAACCCTGATTCTGGCTAGCAGGGCTGCAGCTGTTCTGAGTTTTGAGTTTAGCTAGTTCCCTTCCAAGATGGCTACTGTCTAATCGCCCTCTCCTGTGGGACACCCAAGTAACTCACCACTTGCTGCAGTGTACTGCATCCAGTGCTTCAGCCCACTGGTGTGCAGAAGGCCCCTGAGGTTAGCAGCAGTCACTGTGCATCTGCACGTTTGAGCTGCCCTTCTCACGCAGAGTCTAGGCTCATGGAGAGCGCGCCACCTGCTACTTCCTTCTTCTTCCTTCAAGTCTCTCTCTTCACTCTCACCACGGCTTCACTTCTTGCTTCAGATCCTTCCTGGATCCTGGAGACCCCTTCTCTACTTCTTCTCTTTCTCATGCTGCTGTGTTCCAGTGTCAGGACACCAATTCTCAGACAAGCTCTTTCTCTGCTGTTCAAAACTCCACTGTCTTTCTGGAAGTCTCAGGCACATTCCAGAATCAAACCCTAATAGTCACTCGGGCCAGGCACGGTGACACATGCCTGTAATACTGGCACTTGGGAGGCCAGGGGAGGGGGATCACTGTGAGTTCGAGACCAGCCTGGGCTACACAGTGAGCTCAAGCCCAGCCTGAACTGCATAGCGAGACCCTGTCTCAAAACAGTCATTCATGTGTTTCCTACTTCAGCCCATCCCTCCCTTGTTCAAAGTCCTGGCTTCTGCTGAGGGAGTCCCAAAATAACCTTCCTTAGCCAGGTTCCCAGGCATAATGACTTGTAGAAATTCCTTAATGTTTCTGGGCCAGTGATGTGACTCCACTGATTTCCAGTGTGGAAGAGTATTCCTTCTCTTTTAGTTCTTTGGATAGTTTTATAATAATTTTGAATGGAGGGAAGTTAAATACAATAATTCAAATTATGATCAACGTATCAGAACTCTTGAGATATCAGAAAAATGATTCATCTACAGTGTTACCACTAGGTGGTGCCACCAATTAGTGAAAACAATGTGGTTGCTATGGCAGCCAATCAAGAATCACCACAGTGGTAGGGGACGGGGAGATGGCTCAGTGGAATAAGCGCTTCCCTGGCAAGCGCAAGGGCCTGAGTTCAATCCCCGGTTCCGCAAAAAAAATAAAAAATAAAAAAAAATAATCACCACAGTGGTGCAAACACAGGCTTGTGAGCTTGTTTGGAGTATGTACATAAGTGGGCAACACAATTATGGGTGCACAAGTACTGGCTTACAAGTATAAACATGCATGCAAAAGGGGCACCCTGGAAAATATGGGTTTGAATGAATTAATGAGCTTCGAATGTTCCCTATCAGCTATAGGGTCTGGAGCCCCTACCCCTAAGTGAGTGGAACCACTTATGGAGTGAGGAGAAGACATACCAACACCTGGGTGAGAAATATGACAATAAAGTCATTGAACAGTTTTCTGAGGCTGGAACTTCCTAGAAATAGCCACAGTTCTTCTAAAGTCATCAGGCCTGCAAGTCTTTATATCCAGTCAGGCTCAAGAGAATTTCAGTTGCTTTAGAAGTCTGGGGGCGGTAGCCTTCCATCCCCAGGTGCTCAAAGCACCTAATAAAATGTCCACCTGGATATCCTCTCTTTGTTCCAGATTGCAGGGGACCGGCACACTGTTGTGTGCACATGCACGCATGCGCGTGCGCATGCGTGCGTGTAGAAACCTATTAGTCCCGCCCCTTCCGGCTTATCCATTTCTGCACATAATCTTCGTTGTCTACATGGAACATTGCTGGCGGATGGCACCCCTGCACGGTGGACAGTCCCTCATAAGTCAGCTAGTGCTCAACTGACTTCCTGCTGTAGAAACTAATCCATAAAGCTGAGGGACCTAGGCAAGTCCTTTCCTTTCTCTGGTCACAGCGCAGGCTGTGTCTGGTGATTTCCAGGTGTTCTGGGCACTGGCTGAAGTACTTCCAGTATGCAGCTTTCAGGGCTCTACTCCACTCAGTGGCTGATGAAGAATGGGAGTCTCTCTGGAGAGGTTCTAAAGAGGGAGATTTGGTGTCCCCAGGGAAGATAACTGGCTTCCAGGGCCCCAAGGGTCTGAAGGAGAGTTGTTACTTCAGCATTATTAAAAGTTCAAGTGGCTTCTCCTGAGGGCCAGGATTCATTAGGCCCTGATGTCCCCAGAGTCTAATTTGGCTGAAGGAAATGTTTAGCCTTTTCAAATCTGGTAAGATTTTTCATTCAGGGTTTGAGGTCTCCTGGGGAGAAAGTATCTCAAATTGAGGTCAGAGGAGGAAGGGTCCCTGGAGATCACTGCTTGCCTTGGGACCTTTACAGAGGAGGAAACAGGCTGGGTCAGGGAGGAGCTTCACTCCATGCCACAGGGTGGAGTTGCTGCAGGGTGCAGGGTGCCAGCTTTGTGGTTTCTGTAAACATTCCTCTGGGTGGCACGGAGTCGCGCACTCATGAGGAGGACTCTGGGGAAGGGACTGGGAGCCAGGAGGCTGGACTGGGAACCAGGAAGCTGGACTGGGACTTGGCCTGACTGAGCTCAGTGGTCTCTCCTCCCTCCCATGGACCGACACTGACCCTTCTGCCTCCCAGAAGCAGCAGGGAAAATCCTCATGGGATGATGCAGATCTGCCTGCTGGGCAGATCACAGAGCCCCTGAAGCTCACCACCTTTGGGATAACTCATTAAATGAACCCTACTCCTAGCTCTGGAGGACTTTGTGAGATGTAGGACAGGGAGTTGCAGACTCTCAGACAACTGTCTTCCAAGAATTTCATCTGTACTCCATTGCAGTATTATCAATGGCAGATGTGCCAGGAACTGCTAAGTTCTTTATATATATTAACTCCTTTGATCCTCAGAAGAGCCTCTGAGGTAGGTGCCACTATCATTTATTTTACAGGAAAGAAATTGAGAAGTAGAGAGGTTAAGTAATTCATGTGTAGTCACAGGGATAGTGAGTTGTGTGCAGTTCTGAAGTTCATGTTCCTAATTTCTGTGCCATCTCTACAAGAGGAAACTGAAGCCCAGAGGGAGAGAGCGAGAGGTTTCCCCCTTTGCCATCACTCAGCCAGGCAGCAGGAGTGGAGGGGACCCTGACCTATTACCCTTACACTCAGGGCGCCCCCCACCCCCCAGGAAGCCCAGCCTGACTGTGCCTCTGTCTCCACCCATTTCCCTGCCTAGCTGCTGCTGAGTCAGTGGCCCCCTGGCCTCACCCCTTGGCTGGCTGCTCCAATCCAAAGAGTCCTCGCCTACATTCCTTGGCCACTCTCTAGCCCACAAGAGTTGAGACAACAAAGTTCAGTGACTGTGAGGGCTGAGCAGAGGCTGACGAAGTGGAGGAAACAGTTTGGAGCCCTGAGTAGTGGTAAAGGACCGTCCAGCTCCCAGATGCTGGGCTTTCTGGGGAGCCTGACCCTGGTGGGCTGGGTCATGGGCACTCTGGTGGCTGTCCTGCTGCTGGTGATGCTACTGGCTACCTGCCTTTTCTACAGACCACAGGAAGATGACAGAGAGAGGAACCATCTGGCAGTAGAGGAAAATCGAGCCCAGAGACTCAGGCCCCGGCTCTTCCATCGCCGGCATCCTGGCCATGTGTCTCCTCTGCTCAGTGCGGGTCTCCAGCAGCACCAGCTGCACCACCAGGCCCATCTTCAGCACCTCCAGCAGGCCCACCGGTTCCATCGTCAGTGCCACCACCAGCTCCTCCAGCAACACTACCAGGACTTCCAGCATCACCTCCAGAACTTCCAGCACCACCTCCAGCACCACCACCAGGCCCTCCACCACCCCCTTCAGCACCACCACCTTCACCATGCCCATGGAGGCCTCCACTGATGCCTGTCCTGCCCTCCCATTCATCACTAACATGAGTGGACCCCGCTGTTTTCATGCTGAGATGTGTTTCTGGGTGGAGAAGAAGTGCTGTGACCTGGTCCCTGCTTGGGCTTTATTTGCATACTAGCCCCTCTATGGCATGTCAGAGAATTTCAGACCATATGGGGTAGTCCTGTGGGCACTGGAGAGCTTGCCTGTGGACAGCAGGCTTGGCTGGACACCCACCCTGATTCGTGACTTTAACTCCTGGTGGCTGCAGAAGTAACAAGAGTATTTGGTGGAGCCAGTGCCTATCAAATGCAAAGTGCTCAAGTGATTTTCTTTAGGTGTCTGCTTCTGGCAAGTGGGTAACTGGAAGGGGCCTTGAGAATGTCCTTCCTGTGTGGAGAAAGCAGGGTGGGGCTGTACAGTCAATTTGCTATGCCTTGGTACAGGAAGTAAAAGCCACCAGGAAGCTTTTATGAAGAGGCTCTTCACTGCAGTGTGGTGGGAGGCAGGGAATCATGAGGGCAGAGTCTGTATTGTCCTGGGACCTCCCTTTTGGAGGAAGCTGGGGTCCCAGAGTCAGCTGTAGAGGGGGAGAAGGAGGGCTGGGGCACCTAGGCTGCCCCCTGGGGCTCTACTGTCTATCTCTTTCAGTCTGTCTCTGGGGCAGACTGAGCTCTGGGACCCTCAGAAACCCACTCCACAGACTGTTGCCTGGTACCTTGGTCAGGCTTTCTATGCAAGCTTTGAGTTGCCAACCAGCTTGTCTCTAGGTGTCTTTGGGTGGCGAAGGGACTGGCAGGGAAAAAGTAGAGTTATTTAAACTGCTGGGGTCCTGGGTGAACTTTACGGGGGTGCTTGCGTCCTCTGGACTTCAGTTTCCTTTTGTGTAAAATGAGATGAGCAACAGGGATATACTCTCCTGTCAAAGCTGGGATCATGCTGCCTCATGCTCTATGAACTCTCAGTGCTGCGCAGAGACAGGAAATCTCCTGAGGCCTTAGCCCGTGCTGGGGGAGCTGAGGAGGGAGCAGAGGCTATCGAAGCTGGGTGGGGGTGGAGCGGGGGGCTGGTGAGGCAGGGGGGAGGGGCTGGGGAACAGACCAGCAAGTCAGGGGCATGGTGATTCACTGGAATAGAATGTCCTCTCTCCTTTCTGTTTCCCAGCTGGTTCTCTGTGAGGCTGGGGGAGGGGTGACAGGGTGGGGGGAAGAGGCAAGCTTTCAGCGACAGCCATGGGAAAGTGGATCATAGGTTCCAGGATGGTTGATGTTCTTTCTGCTGTGTCCTTCGAATCCACTTCCCCTTCTATACCCATGGCCATGCTCTCAGTCCGGTGCAGACCTCGTCCTCAGCCTGGTTTCCCCCACAGAAGCCTCCTTGTCTACCTACCTCAGACCCTGCTCCTTTTTGCAGCTTCTCTACACAGATTTTACAGAGAAATCAAAGAATAGCTCTCCTCTGAGTCTCAGAGGCAGAGGCAGCAGAGGAAGTCTAGAGTCGTGGCTGAGCAGTTGTCCTTTATAACAGATTAAAAATATTGAACTGGGGCCCTGGCCCTAGCTCAGTCCTTTAAGTGGCTGCTTCCACAAAGCTGTCAGCCTCAGGTCGCTGGAGTTCGAACCTCACAACTCTCCCGCTGGCCAAAAGTGCCCTGAAGGCATTCGAGGAACCAAAAAAAAAAAAAAAAAAATATTGAACTACTCTCAGCTACCCCAGATGAACTATACCTGTGTGTACCCACACAAAACAGGCAAATAAGAAACAGTTAGACTAGGAACACAGCCCCTCATGCTCCCATCACCCAGATTAATAAGGCGATTTTAGGATTCAGTGGGAAGCCACAGCGCTGTGGCTCGGTGCATCATGTTCCCTTTTTTTCTGCTTCTGGTTGCCCCAGTTAGTACACATAATCTGCGATGTCTGGCAGTGCTTCCTGTGCCCATGTGGAGGAGCAGCCCAGAACCCAGATTGTCCATTCATTTTAGAAACAGCACAGAGTGAGAATATCATAGTGTGTTGCTCTCCCATTCTCCGTAGGACATTTCCTAATACTGGTACCTGGTTGTTGGAGATACTGGAAAGGCTCTAGGCTGTATGTCCTTTGAATCAGCCCCCTGCCCTCTCTGTTCCTTGGCATCCTGATTAATAAAATGGCACAATCAGGTGATGGTTCTGTAGTCACGTGCTACCTAGAAAGAACACTGAGCTGGGTGTGGAGGGAAGGAAGCCCCCTCTTTCCTGTAGTTACCACTGCGAACTAGGGGCCAGCCATAGGCAGAATATTCAAGCTCTGTGACTGTATCACATCTCTAGTGTGGAGACGAAGTTACTACATAGGGCTGCTGGGAAGAGACCACATGCTTGGCTGTGTCCGGTAGCTGGAATTATTATTTCTCTCTACTTCATTTCAGTGTTGGTAAAAGGAGGTCTGAAGACCCAGATGCCTTTGTGGAAGTGGCTGGGCTCTCAGAGAGTGTTGAGTGTGAGGGGCCAGAATGGAGTCCCTCCCGCTGACTTATACTTACCCAGTGGGCTTGGCCTGGTTCATTCTCAGGGGACAGGGGTTGTGTGTGTGGGGGGGCAGGGCAAGCGCTGTCACTGAGCGGGGAGGGTGACAGCTGTGGGTCACTCACAATTGGAGGAAGGGATTCAGGAAGTACTCACAGCTGCTCAGACATCCTGGAGCCAAGTTCCAGGCAGGGTCAACACTACAGCATCCAGGGAGAAGTGTCATGGATTCCAGGGTCGGCCACCAGGCAGGGATGCCACAGCACTAGGTACCACTGGGGCTGGCCCTCAGAGGTCTAGGGTGAGTCTTCACAGCACCTGGGTTAGCAGTGGGCCTGGGCTGGCACTGAAGAGGGCTTCTTCTGGACCTCCGGATGAGGGAGCCCCAGTGCGTCACTGAAAGGCTGGGATCTGCCAGCTTTCTGAGCAAACTCTCACCCATCTAACTGCATTCTCCCAAACTCACTCAGAAAAAAGAGGGCAAATGCAGCCCAACCTCCTCCCCATATCCCCTGTGCAGGCCTCCTGGCTCCCTTGGTGCCTGGTTTGTGCCCTCACCCCCACCTTCTCAGAAGGCCACTTGCCCAAGGTCCCTCAGGGGAGGAGCAGACTCCTGCATTCACTGGAGAAGGAAATGAGTGTATAATTGCTCTTGAAGTCTGTAGGAGTCGCCAGAGGGTCAAGGCTGCCTGGCTCACTCTGCCCCCCTCCTCCTCACCACTTTCCACGGCTGGGAGTCACGTGCTCAGGTCTTCCTGGGCGGTGCTTGTCAGTGGAGTTGACCACAGCCCTTGGAGCCCCAGGGAGGTTTAGAGGATAGAGATCATCTGAGAATCAGGCCGAAAGGCCTCCTGGGGGCACTGAGCACCCTGGGGCGGTGCCACCCAGGGTCCCAGCCTTAGAAACCTAAGGAGAACAATAGCCTGTGGAATGCAGGGCAACTGTGACCACCAAGAAGGCCTGCTTCGGATGGGGAGCTAAGGCCCTGAGAGCGCCCAAGCTGCTAATTGTGCATTGGTCCCCCGTGCAGAACATGGAAATACTGGTGATTGGGGTGGTGGCAGTACTCCTCTTGGTCACCGTGGTCATCACCTGTATTCTCTGCTGCTTCAGCTATGATTCGAAGACCCAGGATCCTCAGGGAGGCCCTGGCCACAGCTTCACAGTGGCTACGTTTCGTCGAGAGTCTTCTTTCTTCACCAGGACTGAGAGCCGAGCCCAGCCACTGCAGAGTTCCCAGGACTTCTGGATCACTATGTGAGGCCTCACAGTCCTTCAGGATTTGTTTCTTGACGGATCGGACCCACAGCCCCCTCATCAAGCCTTCCTTGGGGTTTCCCTCCTCCCAGGCCTGTCCTCTTCCGGTGCCTTGAGAATTTGGAGTTTCTTTCCTTCCTGGGTTGCTGTGCCCTTAGGCCTGGGGGATCTGAGGAATTGGGACTGGGTGGGAGTCAGCTCCTATCCCGGAGAACCTGACTAGGCCCTACCCACAGGATGGGCTCAGGAGGGGTCTAAGGAGGCGTGGAACATTCACCAAATGGGACTTCGTGGAGCACCAGCTCAGCAGAAATATCACTGGAATTTGTTGTCACAAGGTGGCTCTACTGCCATGGAGGAAGCAGTGTTTTCAAGTGAACATTTTTAGAAGCCACTTCTTATGGACTCCAGCTTCCTTAAGAGTATTTTTGCATACTGCACAGGGCCCAACCCTGCAACTCCCCCCTCCACCAGTTGCCTGAAATCAGCTCTGAAATTCTGAAACAAAAGAGCTGCTTCCTGGGAACAAGTAATTTACTTTGTAATTGAAGATGTAGATCCTTTTATGGGTCTTTCCAAATCTGGTTTGGAAAAGTACAAAAGGAAACAAGAGAAAATAACAGCTACAGAAAGTACAAGATGTTTTATTAACCGGAAAGCCAGAAAGAAGACTTTTAAACATATTTTTAATTCAATCTTACTGCGATAGCTTAACAGATCACTCCGATTCTTAAAGAATGAGAGTTGTGTTACGCAGGAATGATAGAAAAGTCATGATCTGAAATCGACTCCAAAAATATTAAAATGTCATGTTATGTTCATAGCAGGTGACAAAGCTTTTGTTTTCACTATAAATGAATGCTTTTTTTATTAGTCGAAAATCTCTTCTGTGTCCATGGAATAAGCTGTGCCATATCTGAAGGTATGGTTTGAAGGTACAAACCTTTGAGCCTTCTGGATCATCCATCAGTAACTGCCTGCACATGGGTGCTTCTCCCAGGGCCTGCCTGCTGAGGGGCAGGCCTGAACTCGAGGTGGTCTTTGGTCTGTGAGAGGGTCCAGACACACTGCTCTTGCTGTGTGGCTACCACAGGAAGGACTCAGAGAGAGAGAGGCCGAGGCGAGGGAGGTGTTAGGGCAGAGGGGAAGTACCAGGCTGATGGAGAGGTTGGAGTGGATGACCCTGGGGAGGAGAAGGCTCAGCCTGGGCGAGGGAGCTCCTGGGCCTGTCCACATCTGGACACTGCAGCCCCCATGTGGGCCTGTCCTGCATGCACAGGAAGGAAGCTGGCTGCAAGGAGCCCTGGAGGCTGCGTAAATAAACTGTTGCAGGTGTGCTCTCTACAAGTGAATGTTGACACAGTGTCTGGGTGCATGATGGTTATTAGGGACAAGCACCTGTGTGGGGAAGGAGCTGGAAGCAGGACTGGGCAGAGGAAGAAGTTCAAGGAGGATGAAGCAGGCAGGTCCTTAATGCCCCTCCCACCTTCACTTGGAAGCTTGCCTCCTGGTAAGTGGTGAAGTGTTTGGCCTCAGACAAGGCGGGCCTCTGTAGCTGAAGCAGCCCTGAAGTCTTTCCTTGAAAGGCACCTGGGTAGTGAACTTCCAAAGGAATTGTCAGGGTCTTCTTTCCAGAGGTGCAGAGGCTGGCCAGAGGTGGATCCAGACGTAAGGAAATTCCCAGGCTCAGGAGCCCACAGTGGAGACAGACGGCTGTGTAAGCGGGAAGGTGGCTCTTAGGGAGGGAATGCAAGCAGTCTGCTCCTCTCTAGATCAGGCACCCTGTGGCTATAGCCAAGTCCCCGAATCCTGACTGATAGCCCTGCCCCAGTCCTGTGTGGTCCTCACCCTCACAGGGTCAGTGCAGTTCACTGGGTTTGAGTAACAGGACTGTGAAAACAAAGCCGTGGTGGGGAGAGCCTGGCCTCCCTCTGTGGGAGTTAGGCAGTCCTCAAGTCCTAGGGAATCTTCACTGGCTCACTTGCTCTTTCACCCACTCATATACCCACCCACTTACCTATGTACTCACCCACCCACCCATCTATCCACCCCTCACCCTCCCATCCACTCATCCATTTACTCACTGCCATCCATCCACCTACCCATCCATCTATTCACCCACCTGTCATCCACTCATCCATCCCTCCATTCTCCCTCTACCCACACACCCATCCTTCTACCCACCCAACCACCCACTCACCATCTGTCTAGCCACCCAAACAGCTCCCTGAATCTTACTTCCTCTTACCCAGTGCTCACTTGAGAACACACCATTTATTCATTCATTTCATCACTCAAGCACCTATTCAGTCATTTACTTCTCCATTCAGTGAACACTGACGGAACACCTACTGTTTGCTAGTCCCTGCCCAGAGAAGGTGGGAGTCAACAGATTGTCATGGTTTGGGTGGAGAATGGCCCCAGAATGACTCACTTATGAGGTCATTGGTGGGATTTTGGAAGGTGACTGAATCAAGGGGACAGTATAACTGACTTGCTGTTAGGAGGTTGTCACCAGCATGACGTGGAAGGGTGTACCTCCCTTCCTGGATCATCCCTCCTCTCTCTGCTTCCTGGCTGACAGAGGATGAGCAGCCTTCCTCCTCCCAAGTTTCCTCTCTACCATGCTGTTCTGCCTTGGAGCCTGCTGGCCAGATGCTGTAACCTGAAACCCAAATAAACCTCTTCTTCTTTAAGAGTGGGTGTTAGGTACTGTGTCCCAGCAAGAAGAAGGTGGCTAAGGCAGACATGTTCCCAGCACTCAGTGGATAAGCATCAGGAGAAGGGAAGCTGAGAGACCCAGGAAAACCTCAGAGGCAACAATGAGCCGGACTGGGAGGAGAGAAAGGAACTCAGCAGTGAAATTTAGGGGAAAGAGAACAGGCAAGGGCAGGGATTCAGCAGCGCAGCCTGGCTGACACCTAATGAGGCTGGGAGGAAGCACTCTTGGCCAGCATGTTTCTGGGCAATAGGCTATGCGGGCTACACAGGAGTGGCCTTACCTATTGGGCTGGGAAGGTGCACTGTCCAGGCACACGCAAGAGCATCGCTGCCCTGCGCCAGAGCTGCAGGCGGGGCTTGCAACAGGAGCTCAAGATGAGGTGCTTGGCAGACCTTTGTGAGGACGGGTCTATGTAGAGTGGGGCTGAGGGCAGGAGGAGCAGCCCCAGGAGAGCCGGGGCTTTGAGAAGAAAAGGTGGGAAAGATCGCCACAAGGGAGGGGAAAGAGGAGCAGCTAGAGAAGGAGCAGGAAGGTGGGAGCATGTGGGACAGAGAACTGGGGGAGGAGGGTGTCAGCTTTAGCCAATAAAAATATAGGACATCTGTTTAACTTGAAACCTCAGTCAGATGACAAATAATTTTTAGTGCAAATATACCCCTGTAGTATTTGAGACATATGCTGAAACATTCTTCAGAGTCTGTCTGAAATTGAAGTTTCACTGGGCAGCCTGCATTTTTTCTGGTGACTCCAGGGGGAAACAGTGGTTCTGAGAGGCTGGGTTAAGTTGCTGATGGCTGCAGCGGCTGGCAAAGGTGAATATACAGAAGAGGTCCTTGGATTCTGGGAACTTGAGGGTCGATAGTGACCTCAGTGGGCAGAGTGAGGTGAGCAGGCACATGTGGTCACCATCCATCCCCTCCCGCTGCTCTCCTGGGGCTGCTCCTCCTGCCCCTTGGCCTGCTCTTCATGGACCTGTCCTTGCAAGGGTCCACCAAGCACCTCATCTCCAGCTCCTGTTGCAAGCCCCGCCTGCAGCACTGGCGCAGGGCAGCGATGCTCTTGCGTGTGCCTGGACAGTGCACCTTCCCTGCACAATAAGTAAGGCTGCTCGTGTGTAGCCTTTATAGCCCGTTACCCAGAAACACGCTGGCCAAGTGCAGCAAATGGTGTTTCCCTTGGGTACTGGCTGCTGAATCCCTGCCCTTGCCTGTTCTCTGAACTAGCACTTTCCCCTGAATTTCACTTGCTGAGTTCCTTTCTCTCCTTCTAGTCCAGTTCCTGGTTTCTTCCTCTGAAGCTTTCCTGGGTCTCTCAGTGTCCCTTCCCCTGATGCCTTATCTAGGAGCCCTCTTAGGTCTCTGACTTTGAAGAAGGGGTCTTTGCCATCTGCAGTGCCCACAGGCATCCCAAGAAGCCTCCCCTGAAGAGGAAAGTGCTACTGAGGACCAACAGACCTCTGTGCCCAGACTTCACGTTGAGCTGCACTAAGAATTTGCCCCTTCAGAGGCCTGTGCCCCTCCTGCCACAGACCTTGGTTTCCTTCACCCCTGGGGCTTTCCCCCTATCTCCACCCCTGAGCAAAGGGAGACCCACTCAATTCCATCCCAGCTCCACTGGGCACATGGGGAGGGCCGGTCTTCCCTGTGCCCCAAGCCCTGACTTTCTGGTCTTTTAGCAGAGACAAGAATCCCATCTTGCCTTGGAACCTTGAAACCCCACTTCCTGGAAGGCTGGGGGAAGAGGCAGCCTCCACCTCACTCATGGTCCACATTCCCTGCTGCTGCAACCAGGGTGGTATTTCTCACTGGGACAGACTGAATTCTGGAACCAGCAGGCTTTGGAATAACATGTTTTCCGGAAAAGTGCCTTCCTAAAAGGAAACCACTTGTTCCAAGGAGTAGAAAAGGGTCATTGTGCTTCACCAGGTCCCCATTCCTGAGGACATGACACTTGAGGCAGGCACAGTTGGAGACACAGAGACTTTCAGCCCCACCACATCGTCCCACAGAGGCATTCCTCTTGTACCTCCACCAGAGTGAGAAGCTGGAAATGCCCTGAACACCAGCAAGAGGGGGCTGTCGGTACACCCTAGCACAGCTATAGAATCCAGTGCTAGCGGGCTTCGAAAGACTGAGGTTATTCACCATGCATTGAATTAGAGATCTATGAATGTGGCCACATGGTAAAATCATATTTTTTGGTTAAAGACACTTCTATGCATAGAAAAAGATGTGGAAGCTACAGACCAAGGTACTAATAAGCAGATGTTTCTGGATGGTAACATTACTTATGTATTTTAAATGCTTCCCCTTAAACTGGGCATGGTGGTGCACTCCTATAATCCCAGCACTCTGGGAAGCTGAAGCCACAGGGCTACAAATTTGAGCCTAGGCTGTGCAACTTCTATATTTTTGGGGGGTTCAGGGGGGATGATTGAAGCCAGGGCCTTGTCTTATACTAGGCAAGCATTCTACCACTGAGCGACATGTCCAGCTGTGCAATTTAGAGACTTAGTGAGAAATTGTCTCAGTTTTTTTTTTTTTTTTTTTTTTGTTTGTTTGGTTTTTTTGGTGGAACTGGGGACTGTACTCAAGCCCTTGTGCTTGCCAGGCAAGCACTTATTCTACTGAACCATCTCCCCAGCCCCTGTCTCAAAATTTAAAAAAACTTTCTTTTCCTTTTTCTCTTTCTTTTTTCTTTCTTTCTTTCTTTCTTTCTTTCTTTCTTTCTTTCTTTCTTTCTTTCTTTCTTTCTTTCTTAAGAAGACAGGGCTTGTAGCTCAGTGCCAAGGGTCTGAATTCAAGCTGCAGTGCCCACCCCTCCCACGGCTAATTCACAACGGTGCAGATGGTTGCTAACTTTCCAGAAGACACTGGGCCCTCTGGGGGCTGAGGGTGACTGCTGGGACATCTGGCTCTGCAGGGGTGTGCTTGGGTGGGCTGAGGAAGGTAGAGGCTGCTCTGGGCCTCACTGTCTGTGGGCAAGGCCTGGCTGTACCCACACTTATCCTATCTCTCTAGGGATCAGGCATGGATCCTAATCCAAGATTAGTGAGGCAAGGCTGAGGAATCTGCCCAAGTATTTCCTGACTCCAGTTTTAG